TTGGATTGAGGGGGTTCTAATTATGAAGTGCAGGTCCAAGTATAAGTCAGTTGGGGTTTCGAGTCGCCGGCCTTCCGCTGGAGCAAGGCGGAGTCGATCTCAGGGCTGGTTTCCTCTCCAGTCCCAGTCTCGCCAAAGCATGGTTTACGCATTGGCATGGTTTAGGGTTTTAGGATTTAGGGTTTTAGTTTTATGGTTTGGGGTTCAGGGCATATTAATCTAGGGTTAGGATTAAGGGTTTAGGTCCGGGACGACGATGATGACCGAACCACCAGCAGCACCACCACCGCCGCCGCCACCACCCACACCAGCAGCAGCAGCACCAGCACCAGCAACAAACAACAAACCGCAGAAAGCAAACGACAACAACAACAGTAACAGCCAAAGCGACAGCAACAGCAACAGCAGCAACAACAACAACAACGACAAGCAACAGCCAACAATCAATAACAAGCAGCAACAATGCCAACAACAACAACAACACCAACACTGACAACGCCGCCACCACTACCAACTAGTAGTAGTAGTAGTAGTAGTAGTAGTAGTAGTAGTAGTAGTAGTAGTAGTAGTAGTAGTAGTAGTAGTAGTAGTAGTAGTAGTAGTAGTAGTAGTAGTAGTAGTAGTAGTAGTAGTAGTAGTAGTAGTAGTAGTAGTAGTAGTAGCAGTAGCAGTAGTAGTAGCAGTAGTAGTAGTAGTAGTAGTAGTAGTAGTAGTAGTAGTAGTAGTAGTAGTAGTAGTAGTAGTAGTAGTAGTAGTAGTAGTAGTAGCAGTAGCAGTAGCAGTAGCAGTAGCAGGAGCAGTAGTAGTAGTAGTAGTAGTAGTAGCAGTAGTAGTAGTAGTAATCGTAGTAGGAGCAGTTTTTGCCTCTGGCATGGCTGAATGATCGCGAAGCAAGGTTGCAAGTGACAAGAAGGTGAATTCTTGGCTGTTTGAGTTGTTGTTCACTCTCGGCCTTCATGCACTGCAGGACCTCAACATTGTCCACTGCCACTCCATCATTTATCAGCAAAATGCCGTTGAGTTGCATCCAATTACACATCAGTTCGCATTCAATTTCACTGCACCGAATTGCCATGCATTTCAATGGATGACCTCATTTCTCAAATTTCATGCAGTAGTAAAGGTAGTAGTAGTAGTAGTAGTAGTAGTAGTAGTAGTCGTAGTGGCAGTCGAATAGAGCTCGTGCTGCTCCCTCTGCCAGTGATAGCACCACAGCGAACAACAGCAAAGATACTGTACTCGCAATTAAACATAATACTAACACTTGATAAATTGCCGCTGCGCCTCTTCCTCCTGCATGCTGCCACCACCACAAAAGCGACCACGACCACGGGCATTTCACTACGAGTACCTTCCTTTGAACTACCTACCACTTCCGCTGCCACTGCTGGGGCGACTGCCACTGCTACTGCCACAACTCCTGCCACTACTGCTGCTGCCACTACTACTTCTTCTTCGTACTACTGCGACTGTTGCGTGACCCTTCCTACTGAGACTTGCCGTTCAGGCAATAGGCACCACCCTCCCTGCCGGAGGTCGGCGGGATACTGATCCACAGTCTGGAAACGCTGAGACTGTGCCGTTCTGATGCTTTTCACTCTTTGCGTGACATCTCTCTCCGACCAGCTCTCAAACACCGGGTGGCTCCTTTGAAAAACAGTCGAAGGCCTCTGCGAACTGAAGATTTTGAAATTCACAAGCTTGCGGGCAGCAAGTTCGGCAGGATTTCGGTTGGGATGGTGGAGCTTCAGGATCAGTAGGACTCTGCACCTCAAGCCCAAAAGCGCAGTTGTGGGACTGCACTCTGCAACCATGACAAGGCAACAGCACGCCGTCCTTGCCATCTATTCGAACGGTCGTGGCATTCAGGAGCAACCTGACAAGTGCAAGAGTTCTTGCGATTCGCCTTTCCGGTGGCAACCGTAGCTCAGATCTCACCTTCCATGTATTTATCTATGCAAGTGTATGTGTATATACATATATATATATATATATATATATATAAACGTTTGAATATACAGCAAAAATAGAACGGCAAGCAGAACCGCAGAGTTACTGTATCCATCTGTCTTTCTCGAGGGCCTGAGGGTCCGGTCAAGGGAGTATACTCTCTCTCTCTCTCTCTCTCTCTCTCTCTCTCTATCTATCAACCGTTCTGGTCTACCTATCTATTGATCTACAATATATATATATATATATATATTTCGCTCTGATCGATCTGTCAACCTATCGATCCATCGATCTATCTATCTGTCCATGAACATCGGTACATACACTCTACATCTGTTTATCCCAGACTCCAAACCTGAAGCACCAACGCAAGACAGCTCGATGCAAGGCTGAGCTCCAGGCGCAAAGCGATCTGCCAGGGACTTGTCTTGGTTGGTTTCTTCTTTCCTATCGGAGACACGACGGAAAGGGTTTGACTGTTTCGTTGTGTTCTGCAGACTGTTCCCGTGGAGTCAGAGCCTACGTCGGCCGACGCCCTCCGAGCCCGTCTATGATCGTGTCAGGAGAGCGGTGTCATGCGCAGGGCATTGCCAATTCAAGTGCTTGCATGGCTCTTTGACTCTGCATATTTAATCCCGAAACCCTGCTGAATTCCGAAACTCTCTTTACCCTAAACCGCAAAACCCTTTTTCTCGGTTTTTGTCTCCTGGACTGTCGATCACCACACGTCGTGGCGTCTTCCTCGGCAAACTTCACCTCTTTTCTGCGTAAGCCGTGTCGATCCTGCGGAGTTTAGGGAGCCTAAGTTTAGGGGTAGCAAGGGTTTCGGCGGGGTTTAGGGGTTTAGGGTTGAGGGCGAGGGCTGAAAGCCTAGGGAAGGTTGCAGCAAGTCATTCCAGTGGCAAAAGCTTCAGCGCATTTCTGTTTTGTGTCTGGGCATGCATTGATGCATCTCAATCTCAGCTCATGCCCAAAACCCGCACTGCGGCCGATGCCTAAACCCCTAAGCCCCTAAACCCTAGCTCATCTGCATCTTCCGTCCTGGTCTTCGGGAGGTGTCTCTGCTGCTGTCGAAGCCGAGTCGGTGTGCGACGGCGAAGCACTGAGAGGCCTGGGAGGGCAGTTTCAAGGTAATATAGGCGCCTTAATAATCAAAATAGGCTCTTGGGGCCAACTATACTATAACTATATTAAGGAGCCCCCAGAACAGCATAGGTAATTATTTCGGCCGCTATAGTAGTTCGTCAGCCCTGTTTGAACAGCAGGCCGAGCTTATGCCGAAACCTAGTATGCCGCTTCGCTTCGGACGTCTCCTGGCCCAGTAGCAACCAAGCGACTGTGATAGCGCTGGTGGTGTGGAAAGGCGGGGCATGAATGTGTCAATCAGCCGGCGGAGAGAATAGGAAGTCTCCTTGGCTGGACGAGAATGATGGGAGGCCAAAAAGGGGGGTTTAAGATTCTTGGGGTAGGGATTCCTGAATATGAACCGAATGATGGGAACCCTAATCCCTACTAAACCTCCATAGGCTAAAACCCCTTTTGGCCTCCTATGAGAGAAGTTTGGGACCTTCATCCATCAACCAACCTGAAACACCTTGTTACAATCTCGCAGCTGCTGCATGCCAAAACCTTTTACAAAGTCCTAGCTAGACCTAGGCCCTCGAACCCATCTGCTGAACTTTGAACCAAACATGAAGCACTCCTCCCTGCAGACGGGGCTACATGATTTGATCTGGCCGTATTGCCTTCAACTTCACTAAGTCACCGAGCAGACGCGTAGAAACTGCGATTTGTCTACGCAGGATTTGCTGTAACACTTGCAGAATTGAATCTCGGCCCATCGTGTAAAGCTGGGCTCAGAACAAAGGGATGTTTGGTCACTTTCGGTAGGCAGTTGCGATTGATAGATGGTGCACACTCTGCCCACGGCCTGCCTGCGCTGAGTACTCGATGAACCCTCAAAGCCCGACGACCCGATCCCCCTGAATGCCGCAATTACCAGTGCCTCTATGCCCAAACTCCAACGTGCGAAGCCCCCATAGGATAGCAAGCTTTCGGAAGCCCTGAATCTCTGCATTCAAACCTCAAAACAGCCCAGGCTCTTTCTTTCTGGTGGTCTCGTTTCGCAAATTGACGCGCGCGTTCAAACAACACATATGGAATCACGATTGAGCTGCAAGCGGCGGCAGAAGCGTCCACAAGAGGAGAGGTATCACTTCTTGCTGAGTCTTACTTTTGCTTTAGGGCCGATTTCCCATGGAAGGTACGGCAGGTGGGCGCCGAAGCTTGCATTCGGTTAGACAGCAAGATTGCAGTATCTTTATGGAACCTGACGGATTTCCCGGCTTCTGATACATACGGTTGATGATATAAACCCTGCATTACCCGAAAGAAGGAATATACCATAATTCCCATAGTTTAGATATCGTACTTTTTGTGATGCCTCGAAACTGTGTCCACAAACCTTTGCCAACCCGAAAACCCAGGCACCTGCCCTGTGGTCTAAAGCCAAAGTTTCGTTGCAACCCAGAAACATACATGATCGAAGCATGCCTGATATCTTCCCCGAGTCCTCCTGTGAACCCCATACTTCCCGCAACTTCCACTTTGAGTCCTGAGCCTCCTGGTGCAGTCGCATCGCTTCTGCGCAGGTTGCACGAGCGGTGCGGCGGAGGGCTCCGTGTCGGCCATGGCTGAGAGAGAGCCGGGGCCTTGGGCGAACGCGACGTGACCGGTGCCTTGAAAGCCAGAATCAGAGGCAGCGAAACTTCAAGCACATTCTGCAGCTATCTTGCTGTACAGACTAGTTATGGTCTGGCCTAGTCTTCTACGGTACAGTGTCGTGAGGGCATACATATATATATATATATACACATACATACAGATTGACATAAATTATTCTGACTGTTAGCCACGTAGATGCAAGCCATTCTCTCACCCCATTATAGACAGACGCAAGTCCGTGTGCTGGCACAGATCACCGGTCAACCTGCCGCGAACCAAAGCGATCAGCCCTGGAATCTAGCTGCCCCAGTCTGCGGCTTGTGGTCCTTCTGTCGCGCCTGCTCCTGCATTCTGCGCACCTGCCAGGGAAATCAATTCCCGCCTACTGCAACCAATTCTGCTCTCTTTGGGTGGTTTTCCGAAAATAGGGGACTCAAATATAGTACCAAATACTAGGATCCCTATATAATAATTAATAAGGACACCAAAATAAGGTACCCCTAATTTTTCATAAATCCCACAAACGTCGCCTTCAAGCTCGGCGAACCTACTGTAGGGGCCTTAATAATTAGAATAGGGTTTTGGGGCCATTACACTATGGGTTTAGGTTTTAGGGTTATACAACTATAACAAGGAACCCTCCCAAAATAGTATAGGTAATTATTGAGGCCGTATAGTACTTAGTGTCACTTCGAGACATTGCTTGTTGTCTACGCTTTCGAATGAACGCAAGACCATGGAGACTACGGTGGCCATGCTGCGGAAAGCACAAAGAAGTTCCGGAGGGCAGGCCAATGTAGCAAAGCTTTTCAGAATGGCCCGCAGTTGTCGATAAGCCTGCGATTCGAGGCGTGAAATGGGCAATCGGCTCTGCCTCCGCCACGAATTCGTTGCTGCGTATGACACAGCCACCAGGGCTCAACGGACTTCTAGTGATTTCTATATCAGAACACGGAACTTCTGACGGTCCTGCAGGTCAGGGCGAAGCAGAAAGCACATCCCACACAGCCCCAGCTCACTCCTGCAGTCCTCGAAGCGAGCAGTCAGTAAATGCGTGCCATCCTCCCAACGATTGCACCGGCTTTCGCTGACGATGGGTCCCTCTTACTTACCCACAAGCTCCATCGTAGTTCCTTTTTGTGGTTTATATGTTAAGGGAATCCCAAAAAGGAACTACCGTGGAACCGATGGGTATGGCAGTTTCGGAAAGGCATCAGGTTTGGGACAGCATCGCGTTGGCGACCCACAACAGTGGCTTTGTCCATATTCAACCTAGTAAAGGGCAGCACCTGCTCACGAGTACACATGAGATTTTGATTCGGCCACAAGTCTGCAACAGCGCCCAGTACCAACTACCAGTTATGATGGTGCATCGTGAATTTGAGTTTCACACGCATATTACAACTGTGAAACTGGTATTGTGACGATGACTGTTTATACCAAGGCTGAGATGAAGAAGACCTAAGTGTTTCACCAAAACCCCCGTGTCGCTTCTGAGCTTGTGTTCTTGTCGCGCCTGCCAGATGACGGTTTCGCTCAGTACTGGTGCATAAAACACGATACACCCCTTTGTCACGCAAGGCCTAAGACTTTGGACACAAAATTCCGCTTTTCTGGTTCTCGTGGGTTTAGTGGCTTCGACCTTCGCTCGACACAGGAAGGCAAACACACTGTCAAGCCCATGAAACCCATCGCAAGGAGGGCTCCGACGTCTTGCTAAGAATCTGGATTCCGAGCATGTTAGGTTAGGGGCTTTCACGCTCGCTCAAGGCAGGCAAGGCTTGAGGCAACATGTCTCATGGCACTGTTACTTGCACATGTAAGGGCTTCTCTCTCTGCGTCTGACAATGCATCACCAGTGTGAACACGCGCGAGACCCGAAATGTTGGCCAAGGCCACCAAGTGTTCGCATCTCGGGCAGCCAACCCTGCATGTCGGCCAGCGTTTTTGCATGTGGGTGGTTGTCAAAATTATGGTCGCTTTTTGGGTCCCTATTAGAATAGGGCACCTATTATTAAGGTTACCGAAAAGGGACCCTCATCTCTACTCCCTTTGGAAGGTAAGCAAAAAACTACTTTTTCGGAGACCCCTATAAAAGAAGACCGGAACCAAAAAAGGAACAAAGTAACAAAGTCTCCAAGAGCATTAAAGTCATGTTGACAACCACCCATGTCGGTCGAACGCATTCCACCGCCCAGGCCTGTCCCGTCCCAGCCAATCCCAGCCGCATGTGGCGTTGTCGCAACGCAGCAAACATTCTACCGGGCCGGGATCTCGAATGTAAGACTTTTAGCGAAGAGTTGCCACAGCGACCACTTCATATTCCTAACCGTCTAATTTATTACATCACATGCATAAAAACTTTAAGATATGGGAGTTTCCGAAAATCAGGGGTACCTACTTATGGTAAGGATCCCACTATTCAGTGTAATATATTAGGGTCCCCTATTTATCGGAAACTCCCATATCGGCCCGAGTTCAAGAAAAGTGTCCGCCTGGCAGTCAGCTCCGACTCCTGCTCCGCCGTCGTTTCGAATCGCTTCGACCTCGGACTGAGCAGTTAGTACCATTATTACGATTAATATTGCTGTTTTTATCGTATTATCATTATTGTTTACATTCCTGCTGTTGTTTCTACTCTAACCTATAATGTATCATATCATGCTAAATACCAGACTTTAAGTAACATGCAACACTGTAACAATATTACTTATAATAATAGGAATAGTAATAACTATAGTCATAACAATAATCAAGGTAAGACTAACAAGACGAATCATAATGGCAATATTCTGCCATGTGTGTTTTCACAGCGAAGCCCGGCTCAGAAGGGTTCCAACCAGATCGGCCCCTGTGATG